CCATTTCTAGTATGACTCTTACCATAATATCATATTTTAAATCCTAAACTATCAATCTCATTAGTCTTCTCTCCAACCCATTTAGTTTTCAAAATACATAAAATATTTATCTTCCTATGAATCATAATATCTATTAATTTTATTAATTTGCCTAAAAGAGAAGCCATACTCCAAGTTCATATCATAATTTGTTTCACGGACTAGCTTCTTTGCCCACATCCATCATGAAGTGAGAACCCTTATCTATTTAAGAAAAATAATAAAAAATTACATAATATAAGAAATTGTGATATAATTTTTAAATATTTTTAACAAATTTGTATTTTAAATCATGAATTTAATATATTTTAAGTATATTTTATATTAATATTTTTTAAACGAGCCGACTAAGAGCTTATGAGTTGAGTCAAGGCTAGCTCAAGCTTAGCTTGTTAGCTCAATGAGCTCAGCTCACGAGCCATTTATCAAGTCGAGCCCGAGCCTGCTCACGAATTGGCTTGACTCACTTACATCCCTAGTTCTAAATTAAACCCTAAATTGTAGGTTAATTACTCCCTCTACTTAGCTTAGATTTCAAAAAATTCGATAAAAATTCAAATAAGATCTTGCAAACCTGAAAAAATCTTGGAACTAGGCAATTCTGAGAACAGCGAAATTTAGGCCCCTAAGATTTTGTATTCGATAACCATGTTTCAAAAGTCATATTAACAAAGAACAGTATTAAATTACATATATAAATAAATAAAAACATTCAAAACTGACTTCAAATTTTTATGGGTCATCATGGGATCATATCCAGCTCCTATAATACATTTCATGAAATTTAGAGTTATTTTAATTAGAAAATAAATTCAATGACATAAACAATATAAAATTTTCAAAAATTGAAATAAAATCTAAACTCAAGTTTTTATAAGAGATTCCCGAGGTCATCTCTAACCTCTGAAAAAATTTCTCTTAATTTTTGGAGTTCATCTTAAAAGCAAACTAAATTTTTATTATAAAATAAGTGAAATAACAAAAGATCCAAAATAATTTAAAATAATTCTAAAATTTTATGGGATATTTCTAAGAATTTCCATAACCTCTGAGAATTATTTCATAGTTATTAAACATCATCTCAACATGAAACCAAAAAAAAAAACTCTAGATTTAATAATAAAATAATTGACTGGCCTATAAATCAAAAAAATCATTAAAAATTCAATAAAAATGAGGAAAATATTAATCAATAATTATAAACTCACAAAAAAAAATAAACAAGTTAAATAATTTAAAATTTCATCCATTCAAAAAAAAATTCCTTTCATAAACCATATATATAAATTTTAAGTAACAAAAAATTCATAAAAAAAATACTTACCTGCTTTTGAGGCACTAAAAAAGTCACATAAATCCTTGGGTGAGGTGTATTATTTTATCTAGGATAATTTAAATGGGAAGATTCACCTTAAGGTGATTGTTGAATATTTAAGATATTCTTTAAAATCATTAAAAAAATATCTCAAATTCTAAAATTCAAATAAAATCTTTAAAACATTAATAACTTCAACTTGAGACTATATCTGGATTAAATTGAACAAATTTAACATAAAAATAAAATAAAAAGAGAAAAAAAGGGTGCCACCTCTTGGCCTAGCATATACTAGATGTTGGCTAAAACACCAGCATTAAACTTTCTAGGATAGGTTGTTCTCTTCTGCATTTATATTTTGGTATCTTATTTTCGAAAATTTTGATATAAATTGTAGTGTTCTATTTTATTATAATAGTTTCTTGACTTATTTTTCTATGCTATCTTTTGATAGACGTAAAACAAGTATGAATTTATTTTATTGATAGATTTTTGAAGATACCAATTTTTCTATAAAAAATAAAAAACGAAAATAATAAAGGCTGAACATAAATTTCAGCATTAACTAAAAGTATTATATACCAGCATGGTGAGGCTGAACGGCTTTAGTGGCCAAGTTTTGAGTCTCCATTTCTAAAATAAAATAGCATAGCCTATCATGCATTACATAGATACTTTACTATTATGGCTTTAAAGAGATTAGATGGATTTAGTTGGTAGTTTTTTAGGAATGATTATAAGTTAAGTAAGGTTAGGCTTACTTAAATACTTTGTCGGATTGAAAGTTGTAAATCTCTTGTATCTCTTTAGTGTTATATTCAAATTGCTACTAGAGTAGTAGCTCTCACCTTAATTTTAAGGTCTAATTTTAATAGTTTCACAATTACTATATCATAAGTCCTCATCTTTTAGGCATTTTCCTAAATCTTATATTGATGAAATTTTTTTAAAATTATTATGTAGATTAAGCTGGCAGTCTTTATTAGGCAGAATTATAAGTTCAATAGAGTTAGACTTACTTAAATCCTTAGTGGGGTTGAAAGTTATAAGTCCATAGCATTTCTTTAGAGATAGGTTCAAATTTCTAATTGTATAGTAGTTTTCACCATAGTCTTAGGGCCTGAGGCTGATAATTTCTCATTTACTACACCATAACTCCTCACCTCTAAGGCCTTTTCTTCAATCTTGTGTTGACGAAATATAAACCCAAACAATCTAATAAAATGAATTAGTCAAATGCTATATTCTATTTTCAAAATCTTAAGCCCCAATATAGAATAGTATGGAGTGCTTCTAGCTTCTCAGATTGAATGCATCCTATTCGTTTTCCTTTGGCCTCTCTAAATTAAACTAATCCGACTAAAATTCCAAAAGTACAGCCTTCTTTAAACTTTGACATTATAAAAATATTTGCCACTAATCTAGAATATTCTCAATAGATTACTTTTTTTGAAAGCAAAACATTCATATCTTGTTTTTGACAACTTGTTTTCAATTGATTCAATCGGCCCTTGTCACTTTACTAGAATTATTTCACATTGTATCTGTCTTTATTTTATGAGCATACATGTAATTAATTTTTTTATGCCACATTTAACTTGGTTTCTAGTGATTGTTTGCTTCTCAACCGTTTAATTTGTTCAAATATATATTAAATATTTTGTTCAAATTATTTTTAGGTAGATTTTCAGAAAATTTATCTTTTCTTTTAGAAGCTTTGTTATTTTCTAATTATTTGATAGGTGATATGCTGGTAGAGCTTTTAGGAACTATGATTTGGAAAGACGCAATTTCTTTGCTATTTCAGGGCATTGAACCATGTGTCCATGTGATCAGAAATTCCTAGCTAAAAAAACATTTTAAATACTTTAATTTGCACATCTTAGTACAAATGAAAGACCTCTTTTTTTCCTCTGCCAACCATTCTACATGTCCCTTCAATACTTCTAATTTGTTTTTGCTTTTTCTAATGAAAGCTAAGAATGCCAGGAAAGTTGCATGAAAGCTAGCAATCTAATACTATTTTACTCGGACCGTCAATCCATGCGTTGAGTGATAGGCAAAAATTGAAATAAATAAAACAAGGCAATGAAGGTGACAACTAGAAATGAAGAGAAGGAGAGGAAAATGAGAAAGAAGAGGGAGACTAAAAAAAGTATAAACAAGAGAAATCCCAAATATTTGAGAAAGATTGTGGGGCAAATAAATTACAGATTTTATAATTTTATTTTTGTAGTTTAAGACAGAATAACGTATCATTTCGAAATACAAAAATAGTATTCTAGATAAAAATAAGTTAAAAAAATATCAATATTCTTAGAGATTTTTCCCTATCTAATGTGGATAAAATAGGGTTTATATTATCTTGGGTATAGGTTTCTTATAAAGATAAAATTTTATAGTAAAATAATGAAAAAAAGGTAGAGCAAAACTAATAAAGGTAGAAGTTGCACAAACTTTGGATAATCAAGAAAGCTGACCCCAAATAGCTTAGGGTGATAATGCTGATAAAAGATGAAGATGAATTGTACTACATCAATTAGTAATTTAGGCTAGTCAACTGGAGCAAACTTGCAATAACAATGCCCAAGTTTGTTTGAAAACTTTCCCAACCCGAGAGAGTCCAGATGGGCACTAGGAAAGCAAATTCAGGCCCATCTACGCATTCGAACGTAAGCCATGTAATGTTGGCACTAATGGACCCCCAAATACATCGTTGGTTCATGTGCTTCTGTGTTGCCTTTCACAAGGCAGTCATCTCACAACTTTAATTCATCTAGGAAACGAACAGCATAACTTCTGACTACACATGTACCCCACAACAACAGCTTCAAACCACAGAGAAAAAACTAGCCAAGCAACTCGTCCACCTTTGTGACAGTACGAGCGATTTATTTTATACATCAAAGTACAGCACATCATCACCAAATGAAGCCTCATCTTTAAGATAAGCTAATTACTAGCTTAACAGACCCACAAACCTATGGCCATTTTATTCACAAGGTTGGACTTCGTTTACGTTGCCATGATGTGTTGTATGAAATGAAGTCATTTGAGCAAGTTAAAAAGAGTTCTCCATATGAGGAAGTTGCAGAGCGAGTACTGGGATAGATTTAAAATATGTAAATGCTTTACGAAAAGGAACATGAAAGAAACATAATACAAAAAGAAGATGGACATGATCATTTTGAAGCACTTCAGCCAAGGTCAAATAAGAAATATCAGGTCCTATTACGGCAGTACAAAAACTAAAATATGCTTATAATAGGAGTTCCCACTAGCGCATGTTGCCTACTAGGAAACAGGAACCCCAGACCAACTCAAAGACAAGCTAGATCGGTGGGATTACAAGTAATGACTTTGTCCTCATGAATCGTGATTTTTATGTTAGGAGTCATGTTTCCATCACATAGCTATGCAAGTTTACGGGCATTTTTTAGGCAACTTTTAATCAATTTAATCTTCAGTTGTATGACAAAAAAGCTTGTTATCACAGAATTAGGGTATGAATGAAATACAACAATAGTATTACAGAGGTAGATTCAAGGGAATGACAATGAAAACCCAAGTCAAAGAACTCATAAGGATCATTGCCAGTTAAAGCTAGTATTGACACAAAATTTATAAAAAGCATAGAGAAACTCACTTGAATAGAGAACTGCAGTTTCTTCTCCCAGTATAAGGAAAAAATTGGAGGCCTTTGTTTCCCAATGGACAACACACATGCTCCTGGGTGTATGACAGATGGGACACCAGAGATCACTGCCACATACTTCTCAGGAAACCGGTCTTTTGGAGGAAGAACTCCCAAGAATAAAGGGTTCTTGCTTGATTGAGCACCGGAGTAGGATGTTGGGTCTACATGTAACATCCATTTGGGATGCTCCAAGAAAGCACAGAATAGGTACAACAACAAGTGCGAGTCACTTGGAACATCAGTTGTCCATTTTTCGCCTGCTTTGTCCAACCCGGCCCCATTTCCAATATTGTCAAAATTCTTCAAACATGTACCTTCGGCAAGCTCTGCAAGTTGTGGGCAAATAATGTACATAATCATTTGATTATATTATTGCTTGATCCTAAAAATATACATGAAGTTTAATCAATAGTTCATGCTAACCCACTAGCATCTAGCCATACCGTTAGTCTAGTTAGATCGATTGCTGAACTATTCTTGCATACACTACATTGCATCCTGATAGGAAACACTTGTAGAACTCAATAGAATCCTATCAAGGATGCAAATTCAGCGACTTTCCACCACACAATTTCACGCAGAACACAAATAACAGCAAGAATCACGTAGTAGTGGAGAAGAAAATAGCAAGATACAAGCGATCCTCTATTCAAGAGGAGGATCAATCTCTCCAAAATTTTCTAGACGCCGCTAGAGCCCAAGAACACCAAAAGCACGTAGAAATCAGCCACCAAAAAGATGCCCTAACCCTAATACAAACTTCTACTTAAAGCAAATATAAGAATGATGCAAAAGGACTAAACAACCCTCACACTAACTCCCTTAGTTAGTGGACCACACTCCAAGGGGAGCAGGATTTGAAGCATGCGAACTAGTAAGCTCACGCATGTTGTATTGCCTGAGCTAGCCCAAGGGTTGGGCCAGCTGGACTAGTCTCTGCCTATCAATATCTCGCTCCCAAAGAACCACCTTGTCCTCAAGGTGGAAGGATGGGAATTGATGTTGCACTCTCTCGTACGGCTCCTATGTAATGACATAATAGGGAAGGTACCTCTACTTGATCAACACCTCCTTGATCCCTCCCTCACTCTAACACACCTCTTCTAGCTCAAGGGGTTCCAATACCACTTCCAAATCTCCAGTCAATGTTGTTGGCAACTTTGAACTCGATGTTTGATTCCCCATAACTCTCCTCAACTGTGATACATGAATCACTGAATGTATGGTGGCGGTTGGGGACAACTTCAAACAATACGCCACCGTACCAATTTTCTCTAATATCTCATAAGGGCCAAAAATATCTTTGAGCTAGCGGCGTCTAGGATTTGGGAGAGACGGTCCTCTTGAAAGAAGACAATTGTATCTTGCTTTTGCATATTTCCTTATTTAACAATAAAAACATGTTGTTTTCTGAATTTGTATTGGTTCGTTGGTGGTTTTTTGATACCAAGGCATATCACACTGCCAACCATGAACACATCATTGATGGACTAGAGGTTACATGAGGTGTGTGGGACCATACTATGAGAAAATTAGTGATGCCAATAAGCATTAGAGGGACTACATATTTTAGCTATGTGTAGTGTTGGCTAGTTTGAAGGCCCAAATATTGATCTAAATGACAATGTTATTTTTCCAAATTTAGTTCAAAATTAAGGATATTAAGAATGTTGTAAAGTAAGAGTTTGGAGAATAAAAATAAAAGCTCTTAATAATAAAAATAATTAACAGTTGAATTAAAATATGCAAGAAAAAATAAAAATTAAGAAGTTTAATCACATTTATTAAATAATTTGGTTTAGATATAAAAGCTCAAAAAATATGAAAAGATATAAAAGGGCTCGTATAGAGTCTAAGATAGTTATATGGGATGCAAAGAATTTAGCTTTTAATAATTTTTATAATAGGTTAGATAATAACAAGGTTAAAAAATGTATGTATAAATCAGCCAATCAAAAAAATAAGAGAGGTAATGATTTAGTTCAAGTGCAGTGTATTAAGGATGAAAATAAAAAAAAATATATTTTTTTAGAAGATGATATTCAACATAGGTGGATGAAATATTTGGATTAACTTTTTAATGAAAGTTATAAGAATACAATTGAATTTGTGTCCTTAGCACCCTAAATAAAAATAAAGATTGTGTTTTAATTATCATATTAATAAAACCGAAATTGGAGAGGCTTTAAAGAAAATAAAGTGTGAAAAACATTAAGACATGATGATATTCTAATAGATGTGTGAAAATGTTTAGGAGAACAAGGAATTTCTTGGATTTTTAATATTATTTTGAAGACAAAATGATGTCAGATGAGTGGAGGAGGGTGTTGATTCCTAATTTTTAGAAAAACATTATGCGCAAGAGTGTGAGAATTATAGATAAATTAAATTAATATGTAATACATTAAAATTATGAGAGAAAATAAAGAAAAAAATAAAATAAAAATTATGAGAGAAAATTTGAGCATAAGTTATGACATGGTAGTAATCAAAATAATTTGGATTCATGCCGAATAGGTCTACTATAGAAGCCATATATGCACTGAGATATTTGATAAAGAACTATAAAGAGAGTAAGGAAGATCTACATATGATATTTATTTATTTAGAGAAATCATATGATAAAATCCCAAGAGAAGTGCTCTGAAGAGTTCTAGAAAAAAAAAAGTTAACAATGCTTATATTCACATCACATCAAGGATTAACTTTAAGCCCATATCTTTTTGCTTAGTCATGGAAGTTCTTATTAGACATTTGCAAGGGGAAGTATCTTAGTGTATAGTTTTTGTTGATGATATTCTTCTTATTGATAAGACTAAAGAGGAAGTTGATAAAAAACTTGAATTATACATGTCAAACTTAGAGTCTAAAAATTTTTGTTTGAGTAAATTTAAAATCAAATATATGAGTGTAATTTAGAAGTAGTAGATCTAGCAATGGAAGTATGACATTGAGTGAAAAAGTCATTACAAAGAGTGCACATTTTAGATATCTTGAGTGTATTATTCAAAACGACGGTGAAATAGATGGGGATATTATTAATAGAATTCAAGTTATATGTTTAAAGTGGAGGAATGCATTGAGTCTATTATGTGATAGAGAAGTACCCCTCAACTTAAGAGAAAATTTTATAAGATCATGGTCTGACTATGGCACAGAATGTTGGACATTAAAAGAGAAACATAAAATTAAAATAAGTGTTGCAGCGATGATGATGCTCAGGTGGATAAATGTCTTTACACTTAGAGATAGAATACAAAACAAGTATATATGTGAAAATGTTGGAATAGCTCTAGTAGTAGAAAAGATTAGAGAAAGACGCCTTAGATGGTTTGGTCACATAAAATGTTAGCCATCCAATGACGTTGCAAGGAGAATAGATGTATTAGGTCCAACTTATCTTAAGAAAGGTAGAGGTAGATTTAAAAAAACTTGGTTAGAAAATATTAAAAAATGACTTTTTTATTGGATTTAAATGAGAATTTGCCTCTTAATAGGACAAAATGGAGAAAAATGATTCATGTAGTCAACCTAACATAGTGGGGTAAAGGCATGTTATTGTTGTTGTCGTTAAGAAAGGTAGAGGCAGATAAAACATCCAATTTGGTCATGAAAAATGACTTCTGTATGAATGATAATGCCATCTATACCGAGCAATACCGAGCGGTACCGAGCGATGCTGAGTTACAATACCGAGCGGTACCGAGTTCCAATACCGAATAGTATCAAGTTCCAATATCGACCAGTACTGAGTTCCAATACCACTTGGTACTGAGTAGTACCGAGCAATACCGAGTTACAGTACCGAGCAGTACCGAGTTCCAATACCGAGCGGTACCGAGTTCCAGTGTCGCTCGGTATCGAGCAGTACCGAGCAATACTGAGTTCCAATACCGTTTGGTACCGAGTTTCGATACCGAGCCTATGATTAAGAAAACGAAGAACAACGAAGAAAACGAACCTTCACTGCTCACGTCGCCTTCACTGTTCGCGTTGTCGAGCCACTCCGTCGACGAAGGATGATCCTATCGACTTTAATGCTCGCGTCGTCAAGCCTCTTTGTCGACAAAAGATGATCCTGTTTGCTTCTATGCTCGCATCATCGAGCCGCTCCTTCAACTATAACAAAGAAGATGAACACTTGTGTGGAAACGAAAAACCTACCTCTTTAAAATGTTTCAGCCGCATAAATGAATATGGATATTGAGCGGAAACGGTGGAAAGCCGAAAAGAATAGGGTAAATTGCGGCTCCATGTTTTTTTTAATAGGACACGCGTATCCGATACGCGTGTCCAGTCAAATTTAAATAATATTTTAATCGGACACGGCAAAGCCGTATCCGACACGTATCAATGCCGTATCAGAGGCGTATCCGTATCCGACATGTGTCCGATACAGCACGCCTCGTAAATAGGAGTATCCGTGCAACATAGACTAGAGATGAATGTGAAGTTTCCCTGATTAGTTTCATTAAATAGACGAGGTGACAAGTAAAAGTAAGCTTACCTTGGACTCTCTGAACAGCAAACTCTGCAGGTACAGTGCTCTGAGGGAGCAAACCCTTAATTAGTTCTCCTTTCATTAGCGTTTTCAGCCTCTGGTGCTCAGTGATGGCATCTAAACACTGTTGTATAAGAGGAAGTAATGCAATTTGCTGTGGTTGCTGCTGACCAGAAATTGGTGACCGTGCTACAAAACATAAAATGTATCATGAAATTGCATTGGCCAGGAATGCCAATTAAATTGGACATAAAAAGGCAAACAAAATGCACAAAAAAATCTAACATGTCCATACAAAAGAAAAATAGCAGACAGAACTATTTAGTTGAAATCAATACATGGCACTATCAAATGAATCTTTTGATGCCAAACCAAAAAATTTAATCATAAGCAACTGAATCTCGCAATGAAAAAAAAATGAATTTAGTGCATATGATACTTACACATTGATCCATCACGTGCTTGCACAAGAGAAGAATGCAGTTGATTAAGAAATCCATCTTCATCTAAAGTGACTGTGGATTGCCACTCCTTCATTCCATAAAATTGTGATAAATGAACGGGCATTGTTGAATTACTAGAGTCACAACCAACTTGGCTTATAGCAATGTTCACACCATGGCTGGCTGCTGCTTGCATAACCTAAAAATCAAGCAAAACAAATTAAGAAAGAAATTAATCGAATAGCAAGAAAGCCTTGTATGCAATAAAGCGCAAATATGAACATAGGGGATGGACAAGAGACAGCCAGGACACAATGGCATGACCTAGAATATTTTGAAAAATACAAGAGATGAAGAATAGTGGGATGTTGATTTTTATACAAATTGAGTTAATGGTACATTTAGAGGACAAATATGGAGCAATGATCAAGTTGCCTCCATTGTGATCGGGTGGGTTAGAGTCAAAAGAATAATTTTTTTGCAAATGAAAATGTAAGGTTGAATCTATCAACCACAAGCTTTATGTACTGGGTTATGAATTTTTGCAAAATAGTGGCATATACAAAATTATATAGACAATCACGAAATGTAGGTAGATATCAAGTGATTGAAAAGGCATTTTGAAGAGAAAAGGAGAAATATGGGGATAGAATCTAAATAAGAAAGATAGAATGCCCATTTTATGTCCAAATTTAGTTTAATACGTGCAGGTGCAGTGTCCAAAAAGTGTCGAAGAAGTCTAGAATGGAGAAATTAAAATAGGACAAGACAAGCCATAGTTAAAAAATTTCCTGAGGTCGAAGTACCCAACAAAACTATTTAGGAGACGACATGCTTTATAGCCATAAAACTAGCTAAGTTGAGAAACATAACGAACCAGAATATGACTAGTCCCAATCTTATCAAGAAGTGGGTTTATCAGAACTGAAGAAAACCATTGCCTGAGACAATCCCGCCAATGTTCAATTTGAGGGTAAACACCTAAGTTCTCAAAAGCCTCTACCGTTTGTTCCATTGACATTGGGGGAGGGAGCTCCCCTTCTCCTTTCTTTGGGGGTGAGTACTTCTGCAGTGAACCAGGGGACATGCGAACTGGCCTCAGTGGTGTGCTTCTGGCTGCTCTAGAAGCATTAGTTGAGCTCACCATGGAGCTAGGGCTGACAATTCCAAACCCACCGACTGTAGGTGAAGGTGTTTCTACAGCTATAGCCTCTGATTCCATGATCCTCTCATTAACATCAGCCAAGAACTCCTCCAGTTTTTCTTCTGTTAATATTCCCTTAGCACTTCCAGGGCTATTCCTAGACCAAGGGGTTGCCGGTGAGGAAGCATATTTATAAGGCGTAGAAGGAGGAGACAACGGTGAAATGACTGTCTTCTTTCCAGCACTGGAGCTCTGCTGATCAGACCTGCTTCGCAATGAACGGGGAGTATAGCTGAAAACCGACTTTCGAATTGGGACTAAGGGTTCTGAGATCGACCAAGAAACAAGTTCAGGAGTAGGAGGTTTCTTAACAGAATCGAACTTCTCACTCTTATCAGTCAGTTTTGGCTTCAAACCCAAAAGTCTTAACTGGCGATCAGTAAGGATTTTCTGATTCTCTGCAGCTTTCTTGGAAGTAGATGCAGCCAAAGCCTTCCTGACATCAAGCGCAGACAAAGCCCTGATGAGGGCCAACAAAGTTGCTAAAAACACCAGTACAACCGCAGCCTGCAAGATCTGGGAAACCAGGACTGCGACAACTAAAGAGTAAATTTCACAAACACCTGTTGGGCATTAAGAGGTAAGATGCTAACTGCTAAGTCAGAGCTTTCGGGAACTTACACGCTGTACCAGTGAAAATGTCGAATCCGGCTAATCTCTTCACGAGCACTTCTTTCCTTGATTACATGCAAAGAAACAGATAAACATTTAGACATTAGCGTTCCCCAAAAATGAAACTTGATTGGCCATGTTGGGCAGGTAAGGGAGGACAGAGAAAACGAACCAGTAGGACATTGTGAGGAAGGCTACGGTAGTGGCTAGGAAAGATGCGGAGATGACAAAGAGGTTAGCAACCGAAGGACGAAGACTGGTAGAGTTAAGGGCCGCAGAGAAGGTGGGGTTCTGGTAAACCGAGAACTTAGGCTTGTGAGCCGCCGGAGATTCCCCGCCTTCCATGGCGTCCAGGATGACAGAGCAAAGCTCGGACCGTTCGAAGGCCGCAGTTATGCTCGTTACTCAGATTCCTTCTTTCGAAAACTGGCCCGAAGGTACCAAAGAGGGGAAATTTGTACGTGCGGACAGCTGACGGTGGAGGAACTAACAATTATTAGTGAGGTGATCTGACCTAGTTTTATGTTCGAACGTCAATAATATGTCGCCACTTGATCTTACTCAATATAGTGCGGCCCGACGATTTGACCCGGGATTGCTATGTTCACGTATTGCTCGGTATTGCTAGGTATTGCTTGGCAATAATAAAAAATATCGTTCTATGAAGACCAATACCGAGAAATACCGAGAAATACCGGTATTGCTCGGTATTACTCGGTATTGCTCGGTATTGGTCTTCACATAATAGTATTTCTCGTTATTGCCGAGCAAAATCGACCAATACCGAGCAAATATTGAGCAATACCTAGCAATACACGAACATAGCAATCCCGGCTCCGTTCCAGGAAGGGGTTGTCGGGCCGCGCGGTAAATAGTGAGAACACATGGCGTTATTTTACTAGCGTCTGAACATAGAGCTACGTCAGGTGACCGGACCAAATAAAAGTTCGACAATGGACACCGGACTTACCTCAACATCCCCCGACACCAATAGGAACATCCGGAGGCCAACAGGAATGTCAATGTTGTGGAAAAACTATTCTGTCCGGATTCCACCCTAATGAAAATGCGTTATGTTCGGTATCGAACTTATACCGAGCGATACTCGGTACTCGGTATCGCTTGGTACCTGAGCGTAAACCGGACGGTTCTCCCATCCAGCGTCCACACAAAATAATCTCTCCACGTTGTGACCGGACGACCCGATCATCCAAGAAGTTAAAATTTTGCACGTGCTTTATCTTTTATCGTGCGGCCCGACAATTTAAATTGTGGTCCAAGTGAAAATTTGAAAAAGGTGCCCTTTAATATGTTTCATGAGATTGGTGGATTTTTCATATTAGGGTTTATAATATATTCATAGAAGAGTGCTGAGAAGAAAAACAAGAAAGACAAATTGAAATTGAAAAACTCTTTAAATAATTTTGAATTGTTCGAGGAGATGGAAGAGACCGAAGACATAAAGGAAGAATTGCCGGAGCGAACCACATAATATATGTCTGAGAATTTTTCGGTAAGATCTTAACTCTAAAGAGATTTTATAAGGGATCTTTTGAGTGTAGAGTTCTTAGTGTTTAGAGTAGTCCCTTGGAGTAGATAAGCAAGAGATTCCTGATACTGCATCTCGGTACACAGTGGTGGTACTGCTTCTCGGTATTTTTTCCATGACAGATGCTCGGTACTTTATCCAGGTACCGGGTTTCAGTACATATTCTTGGTATCTCTAAAAAGAGATCTCGGTATCGCTAAACGGTACCGAATGTTGGTACCTGTTGGTATTCCAGATTTATGTGCACTGTCATGTTAATATCAAACGTTAAAATCATTTTGACTTTTTATACATGGTATTTATTAAACTGAGAAGGAAGCATATGAGATGTATTGCAATTATGCTCATAATCTTGGATTTATTGTTCGGAAAAAACATCATAGTTATTGGTCAAATTTGAGAAAAATTAAATTGAAGGATTTTGTATGTTTGAAATCTGGATTTAAGAAGGGCATTGACTTCAATTCCTATTCGAAATATCAAAAATCCAATACCAAAGACTGGTGTCTGACTATGATTAGATTTGTAGTGGGTGAAGATGGAGTTTGTAAGGTTCAGAAATTCATTGAGAATCACAATCACGAATTAGCTAGTCCTCAAGATTAACATTTTCTTAGATCGTATAAGAACATTAGTGATGTGAACGCATCAGTTCTTAAATTCATGATATAAGCTGGGATAAGAACAATTGATGCATTTACTTACCTACGCGATGAAGCAAGAGGTGTAAGAAATATATGGTTATCTAAGAGGGATGCATATAACTTCATTCAAAAGGAAAGAATAGTGAAGATTAAGAATGGGTACATGAATTCATAATTGAACTATTTAAAGAACAACTAGTTCATGACAACATGTTCGCATGTGATATATAAACTGATGAAAATGATGGATTGTTGAATTTTTTTGAGTTGATGGTTTAGGGAGAATAGATTATGACTGTTTTAGTGATGTGATTATTTTTTATAATAGTTATAGGCTTAAAGAATATAATTTAGCTTGTGCACCCTTTATCGGAGTTAATAATCTTTGACAGAATGTTCTTTTAGGGGTTGCATTTTTATCGGACGAGACTATTGTTGTATCGAGCATAGTACCGAGTATTGTACCAAGCTCGGTGAGGGACAACTATGGGATATTACTCGGTACTGAACGGTACCGATTTGAAAAAATCCTTTTGCCAACTAACAGTTATATCAATATTTCCATTGTGTGAGAAAAACAATTTACACCAAATATGCAAAAACCCTAAAAGGCAACCCTAAACCCTTTAAACATTTGAACAAACACTTTACACTATGAAAAATTACTTCAACGCAACAAAATATTTTAGGCATGGCTCCCTGCAACGAAATTGATGAACAAAAAACGGAGCTCCAAACGCCGAAGATGAAAAAATGATATTGACACCACAAGTAAAATCAAACAACATCCAAATTGAATTTGTGATAATGCATGCGATTTATTTTCCGATAAAAAGTGACTCCGGTTCAGGTTATCAGGCTGCACTATAAAAGATAAAGCACGTGCGAATTTGGTTTCTTGGGGGGTTGGGTCGTCGAGTCATCGGGGCGCAACGTGGCATCTTCCTATTGACGTCTAGATATAGAGATACATCCGGTGTTTACACCGAATAATTCCCCCTAAAGGAGGGATTATTTTCTTCTTACTTGAGTGACCGAAAAGGTTCTATTGATTTTGAATAATTTTTTTCCACTTTTCGGTTAATAAATTTTTTATCATAAAATCAATTTCATCAATTAAAAAACATTCTCCAGTCATCTTGTTCTTAGGGCATCAATTTTTAGCCCTATAATGCTCCTTACTTCCCAATTGTCTTCCTCTTCCTCCTTACTGTTAATTCTTATTGAATCTCGATTAGGTTGTAAACCTAAGTTAATCTCCCAAGACTAACCAATAAGGGGGTGAATTGATACTTTTAAAATTTACCTTCTTGGATTTAAAAGTTAGAAACCAGTTAACGATTAGAAGCAAGTTAAATAAGTTTTTAGAAAAACTTTTCAACTACGAAAAATAAAACTTGCAGTAAGTAAATAAGCAGCAGAAAAATAAAACAACACAAGGATTTATAGTGGTACAGTCAAATACGACCTACGTCCACTCCCTGAACCTCCCACTTCAGGTATTGCACTATTACCAAAGTGACTCTCCTTTATCCCCCACAGCAAGGCGGATAATCCTTTACAAAACTCTCTTCCACCAAACCCCGGTGCGACAGAGAACTGTCATCCTTTAACACTCTTCAAGTGTAGGTAGAGATCCCCTCATTCTTTCACACCCTCTAAGTGTAGGCCGAGTACCTTTGTCATTCACACCCTCCAAGTATAGGCAGAGTACCTTCAGCTGTTCACACTCTCCAAGTGTCGGCAGAGAACCGTCATCCTTTCACACTTCCTAAGTGTTGTAGAGAATCGGATCTTATCCGAAGATCTTCACATGAGCAATCTAGAAAGACAAGAGGAAGAGTGATAACCACAATTATAAGGAGATCCTTACCTTTGAGTAACCTTGTGAACCCTTCATACTCCAGTTGTAAGAAATCTCTCTCAATCACTCTCTCACACTCTCACCTTCAATTGCCCTTGGAAATTCACGTAGACAAGATTTTTAGAAGTCTGTTTTAGTGGACCTTTTATACAAAAGACACGAAAAACTATCCAGAAAACTAAAGTTTTTAATTTTGAGCGTACACGATCGTACAATACGATTGTATATTCGTACGTAAAAATAGTTTAAAAACTATTGCGTATGAACTCATTGTGAATCGGTACGAAATCATTTCGTACCCGATCATCGTCCATACGAAATAAATTCATTTGGTACGAATAAAAAATTTTCAAAGTTTATTTGTATGAAAACATCAGGACGAAATGAATGAGAATAGAAACAGAGGCGTTCGTCCCTGTATAAAATTAAATATCGTCTGTATGATCTTCGTCTGAGGACAGAATAGAGACATTCATTCTTGGATGAAATTAAAAATTGTCCGTACGATCTTCGTTCGAGGTCAGAACAGAGATGCTCGTCCTAGGACGAAATTAAATATCGTCCATACAACATTTATCCGAAGTCAGAAAAGAGACGTTCATCCTGGGATGAAATTAAATATCGTCCGTACGATCTTCATCCGAAGTCAGAATAGAGACGTTCGTCCTGGGACGAAATTAAATATCGTCTGTACGATCCATACTTATAAAAAAATTTTCTTTAATCTTTTTCGTTCAATTGCTCGTTGGGGAAAATAACTGACTAGATCATCTCATATGAAGTTATATCGTACAGCACAACTAGTTTAAAAATATGAATTTTAAAACTCTCCCCTGTTGTGTGTGCTCAGTTACTCAATTACAATCACACTCTCTTAGACTCAAGAAAATAAAAAATATAGACTTTGATTACAATAAACTCTAAACTGTTCTTGATTTGAAGTATTTCCAACAATCTGGAGTATGATTTTTCTGAAATGTTAGTTCACACAAGAGTAAAAACAATTCTTCCAAAATATGTTAGGAGAAATAATAATCAAATCAATAATATTTGGAATCATAAAAAATATACAAGTTGCAAGAATATCCAACATGCATAGCAACTATCTCAACACTTACTCTTTGGTCTGTACTCCCCCATTTCCTTTCTCTTCCCTCTCACTCTTGCTCATGCCACTCTTTTAATAAAGTCTTTGAGGCCGTCCTCTTATCTCCTTCCCTTTGACATAGATTGAAGGCTTTTCAAATTCATTCATGAAATATCTACCTCTTCCCTTCTCTATAAAAAATTCATTTAATAAAATCAATATACTTTTCTCAATAAATTTCTTCTTTCAGGTGCTCTTCATCATAGGTCTTGCACTTATGAAAGAGACCAATTATATACTTCTCATAACCTATTCTTTAATGATTTCATTAC